AGCCTGCAAAACAATATGGAAATATATACTCTTTGTGGGCTGGACCTTACCTTGTAGTAGTGCTGTCTGGATTCAAAACTGTGAAAGAAGCAATGACCAGCTTCCCAGAAGAATTCTCTGATCGACCAGACTATGCATTCTTGAGTACTTCAGGGAATGGAAGGGGTAAGAGCAAGTCATAAGAAATTGTACCTAAATAACCATCAGACTATTATATTTTTGGTGATATTATACATAGCATGAGGGGGTGGGAAGTAAGAGATATTCAACAAAATGACTTAATGGCATGAAATAAGCAAAGATATATATAGCTATAATCCACTTTATACCAAATTATTATACATCTCCATTGCATTCTATCTGGTTCATTACATTCATATACTGTATTTTTAGACATTTACTTTTTTTTCACTACACATCCATCTTTTTCTTCTGAGGTTCTCAACATCCCCACTCAACTAAAACTCTCAATTTTCCTTTATCGTTTTAGTCCTTTCTTTTTGAGTAATATTTGTCCTCTTCCTTCAAATTTGGCCATTTTCTTCAAATTTTGCTAATTTGATTTTAACCAATTTTCTCTATGTGATCAACCCACCTAAAAGCATTGCTTTCATATCGATTACCCACATAGTCATGGAATTAGATTCAATTGGGATCTATTCTAAGCTAATAACATTTCCAAAATTGGAATAAAATCACAGCTTTAATGATCTTGCTTGAAATCAAACTAACAATTTAAATAACCACATTCAATACTAATATAAACTACAACTAAAAAAGAGAAGAAAACAGTTTAAAAAAGAAAAAAGTTAAGGCAACAGGAGTTGGTTCTTGATAGATCCTAAATTGAGCAGGAAGTGAGTAAATGAGTGCAAGGCCATTCCAAAGGAATTGCACAGAAAGCAACATTTGTGTAATATTATGAATTGATCATCTTTTTAAAAGTTAGCAGTACTTTGGTTTCTGGGGTCTTTTATTACTGCAGTCATTTAGGCTTTCAATTTCTCAATCTGCCAGATAATAAGTTTGAATTTTTGTAATTAGCATCATACTTTTGTTTTCATACTAAGGGCGGAAATCTCTATCTCTATCTCTCTCTCTCTCTCTCTCTCTCTCTCTCTCCCTCTCCCTCTCCCTCTCCCTCTCTCTCTCTCTCTCTCTCTCTCTCTCTCTCCCTACCTCCCTCTGCTTCTCTGCCTCTCTCTCTCCCTTTCTCTCTCCCCCCCTCTGTTTTCACCATCCTTCTATATTCCCCTATGGAATAGTTCCTTTTATGAATACATTCACACCAAATTGAATGATAAATTTGATTATTCCAAAGGTGCTTTTTCAGAAGGCAACTGGACTTTCAGTTTCCTTGAAGATGTTTCGCTTCTCATCCAATAATTTTCTTCATTTCTGACTGAATGGTGCAGGGTGGGAGGATTTATATTTCTTGCAGTCACTTAGTCGTTAAATCCTTTCATTCTCCACATCGTCACTGTGGAATTGTATATTTGGAGAATGGGGTGAGTGTGTTCTAAAATGAAAATTAGTAGACTTGCTAGAATTCTTACACCTCTATCCTTTGTTTTATTAAAGAGAATGGAATAATGTATTTCTAACTCTATTTTTATTCTAATTTATAGATGGGATAGAAGGTAAACTCATCAAATTTGAAGATGACACCACATGGGGGGGGGGGATAGCCAATACATTAGAAGATAGGCTCAAGATGCAGAAGGATCTTGACAGACTTGAGCATTGGGCCTTATCCAATAAGATGTAGTTCACAGGTGGGAAACATTAGGTCCTGCACCTAGTCAAAAAAAAAAAAAAACCAGATGCATAAGTATAGAAAAGATGGTGCCTGGCTCAAAAGTAGTGCTTGTGAGAGGGGTCTAAGTGTTCTAGTTGATCACCTCTTAAGTATGAGATGGTGTGTGCTGCAGCTGCCAAAAAGCCAGTGCAGTTCTAGGTTGCATCAACACAAGGATGGCATACTAGGAACAATCAATATAAATCATAAGGATACAAGCGACAAAGGTACAGTGGGAAGGGATGGGTAATGAGTGATGAGAAGATTAATAGTAATAGTAGTGCAGACTTTGTAAATAGTTGGACAGTGTTGAGGGAATTATTTGTTTAGTAAATAATTAGATAACAATTTAGAATCTTATAAAATGGCAATATGCCAGAAGGGTTTGGTACTCCCACCTGAAATCCAGAGACATATTTTACAAGAACTAGAACTGGTGTTTTTTTTTAACATGAATGTCATCAAGAATCATTTATCTCTATCTGATAATGCCTTCAGGAATTGTTCTCTCCAATGGCCACACCTGGAAACAGCAGCGACACATTGGCATCACTGCTCTGCGGAAGCTGGGCCTGGGGAAGAAAAGCATTGAGCATCAAATAGAAGATGGAGCTCAGACATTGGTGGAGATATTTAGACAGACAAAGGGTATGTAATTTTGGGTAATGGCTCAGGTCTCTGACTGCAGAATTTTTTTCCCATTCTGTGTATTTCAAAAAAGAACATATGTCTTTGATTTGATTTTTTTTAACTTTTTGAAACATTTGGCAGAGTTCCCAATTCTCTTTCTTCATCCTCTTACAAGCCCTGTTCCTTAAAAATTCATTATAAAATACCTTCATTTCCAGGGCAGCCATTTGACCCATCACTTCCAGTAATAAATGCAGTTTCTAATGTCATCTGTGCTTTGAGTTTTGGACATCAGTTTGCTCCTGACGATGAAAACTTCCAGAAGTTAATTAAAGCCCTCGAAACTATTGTGAAATTCTCTGGTAGCTTTTTTCATGGGGTGAGTCATGTTTTATATTTAAGCTCCCCCCAAACCTATGTTTCTATGTAAATTTCTATGTAATTTCATGTAAACATGAATGGAATCCATGAAGGAAGCATTGGAAATCATCTATTGCATGGTACTATTATTCCCAGTAGTGTGTCTGTCCTGGAATCAGTCTTGACTCAAGGCAAAAGCCTGGAGAAGTCTTTGCAGTCCAGGTTTTGGAAGCGGTTGGCCATTGCCTACTTCCTAGGGCTGAGAGAGAGGGACTTGTCCACTGTCACCCAGTTGACTTAGTGCTTGCGTTAGGACTAGTATTCACAATAGCTCAGTTACTAGATTGGTGCATTAACCACTATAGCAAAGTGGTCCTGCCCATGAAAAAAAAAACCATCATTTCAATATCACCACTAGATGACTGCCCACCCCATGTTTAAACTGTGACTCTGGAAAGAATGCCGAAAAGAGAACTAGAATGATCGAGATGGGGGTTGGTGTGGAGGATAAAATATATGAAGAACAGTTGCAGGATTTGGATATGACTAATCTATTGAAAAGAAGGACTAGGGATGACATGATAGCAGTGTTTCAATATCTGAGGGGCAGCCACATAGAAGAGGGGGTCAATCTGTTCTCCAAAGCACCTGAAGGCAGGAAAAGAAGCAATGGATGGAGACTAATCAAGGAGAGAACCTATCTAGAGTTAAGAAGAAATTTCCTGACAGGGAGAACATGCAGAATTGCTTGCCTTCAGATGTTATGGGTGTTCCATCACAGGGTAATTTTAAGAGATTGGACAGCCATTGTTTGAAATGATATATACAGTCTCCTGCTTGAAGAGGGGGTTGGATTAGAAGACCTACAAGGTCTCTTCCAACTCTGTTGTTCTGTTATGAAAAGCTAGCAGATTGAAAATCCAACCCATTTAGTTAATATATGATTTAGCTTGGCATGTGAATCCAGTTGATCTAATTTTTTGAATCATGGCTTAGTTAGCCAAGGGTAACCATATTTACAAAGTCTCTTGGAGACAATGAGAAAATAAGAGAAATTTATAATAGCTTTATAATAATCAATCTGTCTTTATCATTCTTTTCTACAAGAATTCGGGAACGGCTTTTCTAGAAGATTTTTGAGATCTGCCACCATGTATGGTGCCATGTTTTAAAGTGCTTGCAATGTTTCTCTTTGTTTATTAAGTGTGGTCTATTACTGTGAGCTGCTTAGAGTCTTCTTTAGTTGTAGTGGAGAAATAAATAATCTTTTCCTTTTCCATTTCTATTAGTTGTTTGTTCTGCTCCCACGATTAATGAGCTACCTCCCAGGCTTTCACAAGGAGGCCTTGGCTTCCATAGAGGTGATCACTTCCTTTGCAAAGCAGGAAATAGAAAAGCACAAGAAATCCAGCGCTCTGCATGAGCCACAAGATTTCATTGATTACTATCTTCTTCAGATTGACAAGGTATAAACATAAACAAGGAATTATTATAATCCTTGCCATAACCAAACAGGACGGGCTACTGAAATTGGTTCACTGGATTTTTCTTTCTTTTTCATTCAACTCCTATTCTGAATTTACCCCATGTTAATACTTCTAAATAAGAGTTATATTGTAGTTCTGCAGTCTTTTTTATTATTAAGGTTTTATTTTATTATATAAAATACAAGGAAGAGAAGAAAAAAATAGGAAATTAAGAGATGCAAGGGAGCGGGGGAAAGGGGGTGTGAGACACGGGGGAAAGAGAAAAAGGAAGAAAAGGGGCATTGACTTCCAACTCTTCATAGCACACTACAAGGTAAACACACTCCAACCTCAACTGTTTGCTTTTACACATTAATATATAACTAGCCATTCCTATAATACCAAATCCTTCTAATCAACAAAACCAAAGTCAAAGTTTCGTCTTTTTTTTTCTTCACAAGTACAAATTCCAGAAGTGATATCCAAATAAAAACATATTTTCCTTTTTGAATAAAATAATCCCTTTAACTACTCCTGCTTTATCTTCCTTGCTATGGAAATAATGCATATTTCTATTTGTACCTACCATGTTTTCAGAACATAAGCCCTACTCAGAAAATAAGCCCTAGCTTGATTTTTACACATGCTCCCAAAACAACCTCTAGTTAAGACCCCACCCACTCTGATGCACCTGGTTGGGTGGGGCGAGGTGCACAGACAAAAATCAAACTAGGGTGGGGATGGGGGGGATGGAGCTGCTTACCTTTGGACAGTTGCAGCTGGGCCTTGCACACCCTGTCACCTGAGTTGCCTTGCAGCTGCTTGTGCATGTTGCCCCTGGCCTCCGATTCTCTGACAGAGGCCTTCAGGAAAGAAATGATCTCTGGATTGATGTTTTTGGCATGCCCCCCACCTCCATTTTGCCATCAGAAGCGCTGTCAGATCTCGTTTCCCAGCTGCAGAGGCCTTTCATGAAGGCCTCTGATGATGAAACGGAAGCTGGGGGATGATGCATGTGAGCGGTGGCAAGTGGCCGCAGGAGCAGTGGATGGGAGTGGCCACACAGGCTCTTGCTTCGTGGGTCTGTTGGTGCTGCCAATAGGTGAGACAGTGAAAGACTTCCCGTGAAAATATGACCTGCTGCCTTTTTTGGCGGTGGGGATCGGAACAGGAGGAAAATATGATACGTGGAGGCTGAAAACAGGGTGCGTAGGGGCCAAAAGTGGGATGCAGATGCTAAAAATGGGGTGCACGGTGGCGGCAACTGGCGATGTCAATCCCTGCAGCCTGAAACAGCTGATTGTCAAGAGGCCGATCCAACCGACAATCAGCTGCTTGTGCTAATCAAGCTGTGCTGAAGCTGAAACAGGCTGTTTGCTGTTTGCTGCAAGGAGGCAAATTGTTGGGAGGCAGAGGCCGAAGGGTGGGGGCCGGTGGGTGGACGGGGCTTCGACAACATTCACTGTATAACATGCACAGACATTTACACCCACTTTTGGGGGTGGAAAAAGTGTGTCTGATACTCCGAAAAATACGGTAATATATGCCAGTTGCCAAGCACCTGAATTTTGATCACATGACTGTAGGGATGCTGTAATGGTATGAAAACCATTTTGTAACTCACTTTTTTCAGTGCCATGGAAACTTTGAACAATCACCAAATGATAGTAAGTTGAGGATTACCCTTTTTTTAAAAATTGCATAAATTATCCTGGTGTGGCATAATAGCCACAAAAACTGATAATTAAAGCAGTCATATGCATCACTTTGAGCTTAGCTAAGACAGTGTCTTAATGTGAATCTACCAGTTGAAGTATTACTTTCCTGCACTGATATTCCTACATAACCACCAGGAATGTATTTATTCTCTAGACTTGAGATACAGAGATAAAAAATAACTACAGAAATCTGCATAGAATTCATTGTAATTTTCATTTTCCATTTTAAACATCAGAGCAGGAATGACTCCAAATCTACCTACAGAGAAGAGAACCTGGCTCTATGTATTTTTGATTTTTTTATTGCTGGAACAGAGACAACCATGCTTACTCTGATGTGGGCACTTCTCCTTTTGACCAATCATCCTAACATCCAAGGTGAGACAGACATGGCTAGTGCAACCTAGTGCAACAAAAGTTACTCCAGGTTTTCAAATTCACAGAAATTATTTTAAACCTATTCTTTGTAATAATTTCCAATGTAGATTCTTGATTCTATAAGCAGGAGTATGAATTTAGCAGGATTAAAGGAAAACAAAGAATGTACATACAGAAAGGCTACCATATGCTAAATAAATAAACAGAGAGCCTACTTTGAATCCTCAATAAAATATTCAGTGAGGAACTAGAAACTGGAAATCCGTGCAAATCAGGTCAGATTTCACGCTTTCAATGCAGAAATCTATCAAGCGAGGGCTGGAAGGGGCAGAACCAAACTAGGGCCCTTGTCTGCAGCATTGAGGGACATATCCAGGATGAGTGTAATGGATCCTTCTGCAGACCCCTCTCTGGATGTGAATTCAGAGGAGGAAGAGGAGGATGAGCCAGGTCCTGATATTTTGGGGAAAGAGAGCATGGAAGCACCAGAGAGAGATGGATGGGAGAGCGCAGGGTTCCAGCCTGAAAAGGCAGCCACAGCCAGGACTATTGGATGGGTGACAGGCTGAGATAGAGCTGAGGGAGCCGCAGCTGTGGCACATGAGTCTGGATGACCCAGACAGGAAGAATGAGCATCTGCCCCAGTGGTGGGATTCAAATTGTTTCACTACATGTGGGCGTGGCTTGGTGGGCATGGCAGGGGAAGGGAAGGGAAACAGGTAGTATTTGCCGGTTCTCTGAATTCCTCGAAATTTCCACGACCGGTTGAATACCACCTCTGATCTGCCCACAGTCAAGTGAGGATAAGGAGGTGGAGTCCATACCTCCTCCTGATCCAAGGATGTGCATGGAGACAGGCACAATGCTGGTTGGCCAGGTTATTAACGATGAAGGAATCTCACCCATTGTGAGGGACTGTACTGGCATTGCCTATTTAATCCTGCCCAAAGTAATGGGTGTTTCCCGAACAATGTGTCCAGGTTCTTACCTCCTGTTCTTTGTCACTTGATTTGTAACCTTGGGTGTGGATTTAGAACTGGATTTGGACTTTGTTTGGCATTTCTTGGACTGAATCTTGTTGAGATTTTGTCTCATGCTGAGCTTGGTAATCGACATTTGGTTTACCCCTAAAACTGGGATTTTGAATAATAACCTTTGAACTTTCCATTGTGAACCTGTGTGCATGGGAGGGGTAGCATAATGAGGGTTTGGTAGCAGGTAGTGAGCCAACTCTAAGTCTAACCTAGTGCCAGTCAGAAGACATTACCAGTCTGGAGGTCAAGGTAGAGAGTGTTTGCTAAGGCCAAAAGGTTAATGGAGGTGTATTGAAGAGCCAGCTTGGTGTCGGAGCTGCAGTCCTGAAGAATGACAAGCAGGGACTGGAAGCCAAAACTGATCAAGAAAGTCAATAGGGACCTTGGCAGTGAAGTACATGGCTGGGATCAAAGACCAGCAGGAAGAGTGCAATGCCCAGAGATCAGAGATTGATTTGGAGTCCTCGGTCAGGTGGTCTGGTGCAAGTAGCAGCATAAAGGTCATTGAGATGGCAATTGGCATTGGAGGTACAAATGGGACTGCAAATTTGGAATTCCAATCGACGTGGAGCCCAGAAGCTGACAATAACTTGAAGAAGGCCAGAACATTGGTGGAACAGGCTTGAATGAACAAAATAAAGCATCTATTTCCATCATTTTTTCTAGAGAAAGTCCAGAAAGAGATTGAAGATGTGTGTGAATTCTCACGGTCAATTTCCTATCAGGATCGGAAGAAGCTGCCCTACACCAATGCTGTGATTCATGAAATACAGCGCGTAAGATATATCTTGACAGCTGGGCTTCCCAGGCAAAATACAAAGGATGTGAAGATCAGGGATTACCACATTCCAAAGGTGAGGAACATGTTCAGGTTGTATTGCAGTACAGCATGGAGGGAAAAGCAAAATATGACATGTGCTCTCTGTTCATAACTACCAATGTAGTCATGTAAAATCAAATAGCCAAGAATAGCAAACTCTTGTGGGGGATGGATTATGAGTTTAAATCCAAACACCTCTCAGATTTTAATGCTAGAACCATTAGCATTTTCTATTTATTCTAGGAAGATGATAAGTGATTAATGGCTGAACTTCAGAATTGTAGTCATATCTGGACTTTGTCCATTTCTCGGGGCAATCTGATGTGATAAATAGGCAGCCCCTTCATGGTTTTAATGGAAAAAATGGAAGAATGAAGCTAAACATTGAGCAGCTACTGCTCTCTGAAACTGCTATGGAAATGTAGAAATGTGAGTCCATAAAGGCAAAGTAAAATCAAATGTTTAATCAATGTTGTTTGAACTTTTCGGCCTTTTTCACTTATGAAACTGGTCTACTTAATAATCTCTTTTTCTTAACAGGGGGCTGCTATTGTCCTAGACCTGCGCTCCGTTCTTCTTGATCCTGAACAATGGGAGACACCTGAAGAATTCAACCCAAATCACTTTTTAGATAAGGATGGGAAGTTCATTGAACGGGAAGAATTTCTGCCATTTGGAATAGGTACATCTATAAGCCCAAAGCAGCTTATTACTTATAGATTATCACCATCCACACCCCTGAGATGTTCTGAGGTCATCATGGTCTGAACAGGAAACCAAGGAATCCTTGGTTTAAAAGCTAAGAGAGTCTGGATAGTTAGACAGCAATTCTAGTATTGGAGCTTTGTAAAATATGGATAAGGTTGTATCTCTGGTGTTTGGGGAGAATTATTAGTTAAATCCAAAGAACACTCAGTTAATTGTAGTTTTTTACTGATGATCTGGACCACAGAGTTATTATATTCCTTGCAGCAAATCCTTCCATCCTCCACCATTCAGTCAGAGCTGAAGAATCTTCTTGGATGAGAATTGATCTTCTTGGATGAGAACATCTTCAAAGAAAAAACTGTCTGGTTGTCTCTTGAAAAAGCACCTTTGAGACAACCATGATCTGGATGCTTGAGAATCTACACAGATATTTTCCCAGGCAGCTAAAAGGCATCTGAAGAGATTTTAAGCGAGGAGAGCTAGAGCTTTCTATCTCCTACCTTGGGTGGTAGAAAATATTAAACATGGGATAATGTTTTAGTGGCCCTTCATCCCTGCAGAACATGGTCTGCAGAAAGTAATCTCCAATTATTGCAGAGATTGATTTCCATCCAACATAATGGCATCCACATCCATCTATGGCTATAAGAGTTATCCTGGCTCTTGTTCAGATAGAAACAAAACAACAGCTTCTGGGGTCCAATAATAGTTGAGACAGATCCATGGCAGCCACAGAAAAGCTGACATCCTGGACTATTTCTCCTCAATTCCTAGGCAGCACTAGGAATTGAATCTGCTAGAAAATATCAGAACTCAACGTGAAAATCGATTTCATCTGTTATGGATCTTTTCAGATTCCCTTGCTAATGGGATATACTCTAGAGAAATGATTATTATTCACTTTACGAATGCTTTGTCTCATCACCAGGTCAACGTATATGTGTGGGAGAGCTGCTAGCAAGAATTGAGATTTTCATCTTTCTGACCAACTTGTTGAGGACCTTCAGCTTCCAGTTGCCTGAAGGAGTGAAAAAACTCAATGAAGTACCTGTTGTAAGAGCAACAGTGCAGCCACACCCTTACAAACTGTGTGCTATTCCCAAAAAGGCTTAAACTTAAACACCATAAAAAGCATACACTTATTCAAATAGTAGCTATTATGATAAATGTTTCCTCTATATTTCTATTCACTTAATATTGTTCTTTGCTTCTATTTAGTCAGTACCAAAACTTATGTTTGACCATTCTGATTCATAGTTGAGGTCTTTTTGAAGGGTAGCAATATTGTCTGTGGTGTTGAATAGCTTTACATCATCAGCGAAAAGAACGTAGTTGCTCTTAATATGATCACAGCGGTCATTTATGTAGAGTATGAAGAGAGTTGGTCCTAGAACACTGCCCTGGGGGACACCACTGTTGACAGGTACAGAATTTGATAGGACGCTCCCAATTTTGACCATTTGTTGCCTGTTTGACAGGAATACTTCTATCCAGTTATGCAGGTGTCCAGAGATGCCATAAGATTTTAGTTTTAGTAGTAGTTTGTTGTGTACCACTGAATCAAAAGCTTTAGAAGTCTATGTAGATTGCATCTATTGCTTTGCCCTGATCGAGTTGTGTAGTCCATATGTTTTTGCAGTGTAAGAGTTGCAGATTACAGGATAGTTTTTTTCTGAAACTAAATTGTTTATTAGAGAGTAGGTTGTTTGTCTCTAAGTGGAAGATAATGGATTGGTTAATCATTGATTCCATGACTTTACAGATGACGCAGCATAAAGAGATTGGTCTGTAATTTTCAACTAGGCTGGGGTCTCCCTTTTTGAAGATGGGAATGACTAAGGTACACACACAGGAATGCATAATACTCTAAGAGAAAATTAGTACCAATAACGGTGTCAGTCAAGGATGTATATGTCTATGGAGATTCTGAGTCATCCTAGTCATAGTTGTCTCAAAGGTGCTTTTTCAAGAGGCAATTGGACTTTCTGGGTTCTTTTTGAAGATGTTTTCCTTCTCATCCAAGAAGCTTCTTCAGCTCTGACTGGATGGAGGGGAATGGAAAGATTTATACTCCTTGCAGACAGCTGGTCATTAAGGTCAACTGGAGGTTTAGCTGTGTTATGACATCATATTAAGAGCAACTGTGTTCTCTTCGCTGATGATGTAAAGCTATTCAACACCACCGACAACACTGCTACCCTTCAAAAAGACCTTGACTATGTATCAGAATGGGCAAACAAATGGCAACTTCAAATCTCAACAAATAAATGCTCTGTCTTACATATTGGCAAAAAAAAATCAGAAAATAAAATACAAGCTGAATAGTCAAGACATTGTTGATGATCCAAGCTCTGTAAAGGACCTTGGAATACTCATCTCTAATGATCTAAGTGCTAGAACCCACTGTAACTACATAGCCAAAAAGGCATTAAGAATTGTTAACCAAATCCTGCATAGCTTTTTCTCCGGTAATATCACACTACTAACTAGAGCATACAAAACGATTGTTAGACCAATGCTTGAGTACAGCTCATCAGTCTGGAACCCGCATTACATATCTGATATTAATACAGTTGAGAAAGTCCAGAATACTTCACAAGAAGAGGTCTCCACTCCTCTACTCATTGCAGAATACTTTATGCCACCAGACTTGAAATTCTAGACCTAGACACCTAGAAGTACACCGTCTTCGGTCCGCCAAGCTCAATCTTGTTAGCCCACAAAGCTCATTCCTGTTAGCCAAACAAAGACCCAATGAGAGGGGAGGTCCAAAGTTGTCTCAGGAGGAAGAGAATCAGCAAAGCAAGCAGCAAAACGAACAAAAGTGTCCCTATAGCCATCATAGTCCAGCTGACCCTTTTTCTTTGATGCTTACTAGTGTATCTGTGATGGTTGTGTCCTCTGTTTTTTACTTTCCTTCCTCTTATATACGCCATTCAGCCCCATTATTTCTCATAGTTCTCTTTGAAACAGCTACATTTATACACTGAGTAAATAAGTAAATTAACAATCAGCAAGACTGTGATCGAAGGAGAGGATTGGGGATTCTTATCCATGAAGCATAGGCCTGCACCCAATTGCCATAAAGGGGATCCTACGAAGAGATAATTCTGGAATGACCCTAGGAACCAAGTGAAACCTATGTCATTTTGAGTTCTTGTTGCGTACCCAGGGAGAAAAAGGAAACATCTGGGGCTCAGGAATAAGGGCAGATGTGAGCTTCAAAAAAAACTTCAAAACATTCAGCTTTCAGAGTGTGTTCAGAATGAGATACATCATGGCAATCATTAATACAGTTGGAATAATAAATAAGGAATAAAAATAATAATAAAAATATTGGACCATAAAGCAAAACACAATATCACAAAGGATGGCTAGGTCCTAAGCCATGCGGCCTCTATTGGGTTTAATGATACTTCAGAGTTAATAATTGTCCCTTGCTAAAACTTTAGCATGGATCATAATCAGAAGTGGTGATGGATCACGCAGTTGGAATATTAACTAATATTATTATTATATTTTATATAATATATTATAGAATTATAGAATTAACTAATATTTTAGTTAAGGATTTCTAAAGACTTATAGCTCTCTACCTATAATTTGGTGCTTGGATTTAGGATACCTTTCTATTCATAACAATTGTTGCAGAATCTATTCCAGCAGCCCTCTTTATTAGCAAGCATAGTGGTTACACTTATTTCAGTTGCAAAAGGCTGCACAGTACCAGGGATGGTTCTCAACAGTATGAAACCTTCATGAAGACATTCCTTTATTTGTAAGCAAAGTTGAGTAATGCTGGGCTTACATTAGTATGCATGAGACATAATCCTGGACTAGATAATATTTCTCTGGCCCAACAAGATTGTCCTTTATATTCAGATATATTTCATGGACATATGGTACAGCATGATTTTAAAATGATTCTGGCATGCTGTCATGTTTGGGACAAAATGGATTACATAGCCCATGATTGTCTAAAAAAAAAAAAGACTTCCTGTGTTTTTTGTGTGGCACATGGTCAGAGGCAACCTTGTTAATCCAAATTAATGTGATAGTAACTTGTTGACAAAGTTCTAGGACAAATGAGACAGAGAATCAAAAGACATGTGGGATTGGCAATCTCTATTCACTGGATGCAATACTGTTGAAGACCATTACAACATATTTTTACTTGAAGTCAAAAGAGTCATCAAACTATATGTACCAACAACAACTCCCAAAACAAAACAAAAAAGCAGATTACCCATAACAATAAGGAAACTTCAATCCAAAAAGAGATCACTCTGGCGGAAAAACAAATCTGGTCACGTTGCCAATTTCAAAAGCCGATACAAAAATTAATGCCACCAGATAAAGACCGAATGCATCAATTATCACATTAAACAAGAGGAAAACCTTCTAAGCACCAATTCCACCCGTGCTTTTTACAATTTTGTAAACAACAAACTAAAAGACTCAAGGTCTATCCCACCCTTGATAGGACCTGATGGTAAAGACTGCAACGACGACACCATTAAAGCCAACATCTTTAACACATTCTTCGGCTCAGTATTTGTAAACAGCAATGGATCATGCCCAGTATTTCCTAGCCGTACCACAGATAACAACAATGATCTAATACATATCAATTTTACAGAAGACAATGTTGAAAAAGCACTACGCAATCTAAAACCATCTCTATCTATTGGACCGGATGGAATATGTGCCTACTTCTTTAAAAAGCTATCCACTGCCATAGCCAAACCTCTAAGCATAATCTTTGAAAAATCTTTCAGGACCAGCTCCTTGCCTAACCTATGGTCACAAGCCACAGTCATCCCCATCTTCAAAAAAGGGAGACCCAAGCCTAGTTGAAAATTACAGACCAATCTCCTTATGCTGCATCACCTGTAAAGTCATGGAATCAATTATTAACCAATCCATCATCCTCCACTTAGAGACAAACAACCTACTCTCCAATAAACAATTTGGTTTCAGAAAAAACTATCCTGTAATCTGCAACTCTTACACTGCAAAAACATATGGACGACACAACTCGACCAGGGCAAAGCAATAGACGCAATCTACATAGACTTCTGTAAAGCCTTTGATTCAGTGGTACACGACAAACTACTCCTAAAAATAAAATCCTATGGTATCTCTGGACAACTGAATAACTGGATAGAAGCATTCCTGGCAAACAGACAACAAATGGTCAAAATTGGGAGCGTCCTATCAAATTCTGTACCTGTCAATAGTGGTGTCCCCCAAGGCAGTGTTCTAGGACCAACTCTCTTCATACTCTACATAAATGACCTCTGTGATCATATTAAGAGCAATTGCGTTCTTTTCGCTGATGATGTAAAGCTGTTCAATACCACAGACAATACTGCTACCCTAGAAAAAGATCTTGACTATGTATCAGAATGGTCAAACAAATGGCAACTTCAAATCTCAACAAATAAATGCTCTGTCTTACATATTGGCAAAAAAAATCAGAAAATAAAATACAAGCTGAATAGTCAAGATCTTGTTGATGACCCAAGCTCTGTAAAGGACCTTGGAATACTCACCTCTAATGATCTAAGTGCTAGAGCCCACTGCAACTACATAGCCAAAAAGGCATTAAGAGTTGTTAACCTAATCCTACGTAGCTTTTTCTCTGGTAATATCACACTACTAACCAGAGCATACAAAACATTTGCTAGACCAATACTCGAATACAGTTCATCAGTCTGGAACCCACATTACGTATCTGATATTAGCACAATTGAGAAAGTCCAGAAATATTTCACAAGAAGAGTTCTCCACTCCTCTACTCGTTGTAGAATACCCTATGCCACAAGACTTGAAATTCTAGAACTAGAAAACCTTGAATTACGCCGTCTTCGGTCTGATTTAAGCATGGTATATAAAATCATACATTGCAATGTCCTACCTGTCAATGAATACTTCAGCTTCAACCATAACAACACAAGAGCACACAATAGATACAAACTCAAAGTTAACCACACCAAACTTGATTGCAGGAAATACGACTTCAACAATAGAGTGGTCAATGTCTGGAATACTCTACCCGACTCTGTAGTTTCTTCCCCAAACCCCAAAAACTTTAACCTTAGACTGTCTACTATTGACCTCACCCCTTTCCTAAGAGGTCTGTAGGGGGCGTGCATAAGCGCACCAACGTGCCTACCGTCCCTGTCCTATTGTTTCTCTTATTCTTCTTTTATTTTTCTTATATGTACCCATTTCATGTATTCACAACTATGTATACACTTATACTTATTATCTTGTAAACAATTGGCAAATCAAATAAATAAATA